AATAACAGCGAGGAGAGATGAATTGGTGGGATATCTTAAAAATAAAGCTCTGCATTGGAGCTGATAAAGTGGAGCTCGCCCTCAAAATATCTGAGGACTCCATCGAAGCATTTTTCAGTGGTGGTGTGCTACTCCAGTGTCTTTCAGTATCCGGTGTAATGGTTTGTTTTCTGGGGCAGAAAGCTCCTCCACGCTGTGTTCCCGTTGGCTTTCCTTTCCTTCTCACTGCAAGGAGATGTAGGTGTGTTATTCTAACTAAAGCTTGTGCATCTTCATAGGTATTTGTAGTAAATCTGTCATGAACGTCTAGTTGGTTATGCCGGCTTTCGGTATCAGTTCCGTGTCCTTTACAGAGCAAAGCAAGCTCCCTAGCCGTGGCGCTGCCGCTCCGGATGTAGAGGCGCAAGTTCTGGGCCGCGGTGCCTCTTCGGAGAGGTAACCTCACCGAGTTTCTGTAGGTCGCGTGCTGCATACGTGGGTCAGGAGGGAGAAGTGTCCCCGGCGAGCGGCTGGCATTGTGCCACTGCTCTGCAGTGAAAGGGATTTGAATGGCTGTGTCTTTTTTGGGTTTTTTTTCTAAGTACCAGATCTTGGGTTGCTTTTAAACGATGGACTAGCATGCGCTTGGGATGTGCAGAAGTGGCTTTTAAATTTTTTTTTTTTTTGTAGGGGATGGTCCATCATACCCTTTTAAAGTTACCTCACACTAAAGTTATTCCCACATTTCTGCATCTGTAGCTTTCACCCCCTTAACATCAGTGCAGAACTGATTTTTGCCTTGCACAGAAATGCAGAATTTCTGGAAGCTTAGCTTTCACCAATCCTTAGCCAATAAAGGACTTGCTGGCAAATTAATTTAGAAGGGATTTTGTTTTTTTTGAAGTGCTTAATGGACTGAAGCCTGAATTCCTATTGAATGTTAGTGGGAGTAGAGGCTTAGCACTTAGATCGCTGAGATTGCCGAAGTCCAGGGTGTTTGCTGGAGGGAAGTAAGTGGAGTATGGATATATACATGCTCATGCGATGCCAGAAGGAACTGATGAAAATGGGATGTGGCCCTAATTCTCAGATAAATCAGGGTTTCGGTGTTCCTTTGCCAAAAGACAGAGCGAGTGTGTGCCGGTGTTACAATACGAATGTGTTCCTATGTGTGCTAAGAAGACCTGCCTGTGTGAGGGTAAAGCCCTGCGGAAAGGCGAAATTAAAACGCTCTTCATCGTGCGCTTTCCTGAGGGTCTGTGCAGCTGTAGTGGTAGGTTTTGGCTTTCCTATGGGTTTGGTAAGGAATGGGTGTAACAGAGCTGCTCATTCAAAGAGACTGTGGAAACACATGATCGGTGAAGAATCCCGTTATATTCTTGGCGCACGCGGAACGCCGTGACGGCTTGCCATGCCCTGCCAGTGTAGGTATAGCAGGTGGCAGAGCTGAGGCTAAGATAGGATTCACCCTGGCTCACTAACGGCTGAGCTTAAGACCTTTGAAATGGGAAGTTACAGTAAATGGTCGTTTTGGAATTTCTCCATGGTATGTAGAGGTAGAGAGCTAAGCCAACACCATCCTTGCTAAATCAAGTCTTGCATAAAGAGTTGTGATATGCTCAAGTCAGACTTTCTGCTGGCAGTGCAGTAGACGGACTTTTTCCAGATAAGGGCTTGTCTTAATTAGGAAATTAGGTTAGTAACTCAACTCTTCCTTCCAAACTAACAACATTGCAGACAAGGACAAGTCGCGTTTAACGTTGTGTCAGCTGGCTGTAGCTAAACCCTAATTCAGGTACTGTAACTTCGATTTTTGGTGAAGTTCTTCGTATCTTGTGCTCACTACTATGAGGATGGGCTTGTTACGCTGCTTGTACTGTGTGGCAGTCCGCAGTATCTAACACAGCAGATAACAGCAAAAGATAGCTTCACATTCAGTTTTTGTAATTCAGATGCTTTCTCAAGGCTTATTTAGAAACCTGGAGTTTGCCCTGCTACGGACTTCACTGGAAGCTGAATCAGACCTGTATAACTCACTTGTAAAGACCACTCTTAGAATAACAGGATGTAAAACCTGGATTAAGTCTTGCCCTGTGTGGGGACTTTCATTGGGTTGTTTTGTTTAAACCCATGAGACACTGCTGAGTTAAAAAATGTGGCTTGCTTTACTTTGTTGTTCCGATTGGCACCAAATTCTATTTGATCGTCCTCTACCTACATAAAAACAGAACTTTAGAGTTTAATGGTACACCTCTGTTTAGATGTACAGCAAGAGATGTATAGATTCATTCTTTTTCCACCGCTTCCCTCATATCAGCAGAGCATAGCAGGAGCTCCAGGCTCTGCTGCTGCAAATCCGGTGGCTCACCTGAAAGCAGGTGTGTGGCTTTGCTCGGCTTGCTCATTTGTGAGGGTAGAAGTTAGCATTTCATGTTTCCAGGGCATGCTGTAAATACCGCTTTGAGGCCCAGCATTTGGTGCCCTGATTGCTTGAAATTGTCGTCTTCCTTGAATACTTTCTGTGTTATCAGTAGGAGCCTGCTTGGCAGACAGCGCCACAAATGGAGGACTGTCTGTGATTTGCCTCGAGTTTGTTGCTGAAATTCCTTCTCAGAAGCTTATGTCAAATGACAGCCTTTTTCTCAGGATAGGGTCATACAGCGTTTCCTCAGTGTAGTTATTCTTTATTTTGGGTTCCTGTTCTTTCTCTCATGATGGAAAATCTGTAACAGGTGGCCACAGGCACACCAGACTTTCATGCTTGGGAGCATAAAGGACCATATGCTGGATGATGGCATGTATGGAGGTAGTAAGTTGTAGGAACAGGCAGCCAGCTTATATGAAAAATAAGAGCTGGCCTGAATTTTCGATTCAAACTTAGCTAAAGTAAAACTTTCTCTGTTCTCAGCCATGCTTGGTTGTTTTTCTGTTTTGCTGCTTACTTTCTGGTTTCATCTGGAAGTGGATTTTTTTGCAGTTTGCGAAGAGGATTGCTCTGACATTTTTACCAGACACCCTGGGCGAGATCCGGGACCCCTGGAGTCAGTTGGACTTTTGCCATTGGCTTTAATGTGGCCAGAATTTCACTGCATGAGAATGGTTTTGCTTGGTTCTGGATAGGGTATGTCAGAAAATAACAGCACTCTTCAAGATGGGGATTTTGTGTGAGATTTTGGACCACAGGCTTTCTAGGTCTAAAAATGCTCAGTTTTCCTCCAGGACACAGAATGATGCTTATCCAGCATAAAGCTTCTCTTTAATAGTCCCATATTAGCGGTGATTTGCTATTGACCTTTAGTTTCCTTTTGTTAGACAACTTTCAGTGAAGAGTTTAATTCTCTTTGGAAAAGCCTGTTTGTGAATATCTGAAATAACAAAAATAACATTGGTTTATGCTGAATTCAGCCCATGCTGTACAGCAGTGTATACCCAGAGGTCATACCGCTCATCCTTCAGCCACAGGCTGGGGTCTGTTATCTAAGCTGGCATCAGGTGCTACAGACACCGAATTTCCCTATTTCCCAGTAGGCTAAGCTGGCTTTTCATTCTGTGTTCTGGGTCTAGGCCAAGATGAGATTCGGTGTGTTTGTTTTGTTTTTCAGAGGCTGCTTAATACCAGTCTCTGGTTTGTAAGGAAGAGGGAGGTAGATTTCATGCCTATGTTTGAGTATTGGCGATCTGAGTATAGTCAAGAAAGAACATTGTGTTTGTCAGTTTGTAAAGATCTTACACATGCTGTTGGCCACCGAAGTATATGCCAGAACCATTCCTATGTGAAGAGTACACGTGAAGCTGGGCTAGCCCAGATAACAGGTTAGGTTTCTGGGAAGTTTTGTTCCCCCTTACCCCATGATGGTGGGACAAGTTAATTTAGCAGTTGATGATCTTGGATACTTTTCCACTCACGCGAGTGCAGTCAGAAGTGTTATGAGAAGATTACTGCTAAGGTCAGAAGAAGTAACATCAAATTTGTGTGCAGACAGGGTATTTTAAGGGGGTTGCGGGGAGAAAAACATTTTTAAAGGATGTATACAATGCAAAGGATGTATATACATTTCATACAAGGAAAAATTGTTGAGTCACTTTATCTCACTGTAGTTTCTTATTTAAAGAGTTCTGTAATCACAGGCTGATAATTTCTTCCTGAAATACAAATTGCATCTGTGTTTGATCCCAGGCTTGATGCTGTTTTGAAAAATCTTTTAATTTAGAACTTTCATCCTTTGCAAAAAGCTCACCACAAAACATAACTTTTCACTATAAAAAACTTCAGTCCCTACACAAGGCCTCGTACTTGTCTATCAGTACTACCATCTTTTTTTTTGTACATTAAAAAAAAAAAAAGGTCAGATTTGGTGCAAGTGCTCCGAATATCTTGTAATGACTGCCCATGGACTGGAGGCGAGGGAAGAGAGTTGAAATGGAAAATGAATTAGATTCTTAGGCTGTGGAAGGGGGAACATTCCTGCACAGAGAAGCGACTCTGGAGATAAGTTTTAATTTCCTGAGCTCCAGTCTCTATATAGGAACATTGAAAGACTTCCTTCCTGATAACCAAGTCAAGCCAGGGGCTATATTAAATGATGTGTTTCTGTATATAATTGCATGCTTGTGCATGTATTTGCATACTTACAGTATAAATACAAATAGTGTACTATAATGATAGAAGTCAACTTTTAAAGTGCGTTGCTTGTGTTCAAGGTCAGACATATACATTGAGCCTGAGAGGTCGTAATAGATCAACATCTATTTAGTCTTCTATAAAGGATCTCTGTCACACTTTGTCTCTACTTGAAAATCAACACCCAACCAAAAAATTAAATGAAAGAAACACCCTCACCAATCACTTGTCTTGCATTTTTAAGAGGATCTGGGTTATGGTGCACCTTTAGGAATGACCAAGTCACTGAGGTAGATGTGTTGCAAATTTCTGATAGGTACATCTCCTGTATGTGCAATATTGTTATAATCATTTCTGTCTTACTAAGGTCTTATCGGTCTGTGATTACTTAGGCATAACGATGAAGCTCATTGTGAGTGATACCTTACTAAGCATTTCAGGAGCACGTATTAGGAGACTTTTTGTTTGTTGGTTTGTTTACAGAGGGCATAAAGCATTTACAAAAAAAGTATAGGTCACCCCAAATTCTGCATTTGCAAAAACATGTTTCAGAGCCTCAGACTGGTTTCTTTTTAGCAATTGTAAAGCTGTTTGGATTTGCTGTTTCCACATTTGGTTCCTTTTATTTATTTATTTTTTTAAAGTGAAACCCACAGTTTATGTATTATAGGATCTTCGGATAAAACTGTAAGTCTAAATACATAATATTCTGCTAAGCAGAGCTGTGGTATAACTTGCTTTGTGAAGTACAGATTTACATGACTTCCAAACTGTTGTCTGAATATCCAAAATTGTAAAATAAGATTACTTACATCCTTCATTGCAGTTCAGGCGACAGCATGGGAATTAAATGTATTACTGAGCTGTTTTATGTTTATCAGTTAACCTACTGTAATGTCAGATACATTGCTTAGTTGCTATGAGCTTTTAGTGTTAGAAGTTTTAATTCCACTTGTCAATAGCTCTTTCTTACATTTATTTTTTAAATAACCATTCATAATTAAGACTTAGCCCCGCAGTATCTATTTTGTATTACGAGAGCATTTGTATTGGCTTATAGGATTTTAGAAAGCACCGAATGTAGATGTATTGATGGTATACAAGATGAGAAAATTACATTCAATTATGTCTAAATCGGACAAGTGTATTTATTGTATAAATGAAACTTTATGGGCTCTGTAGTTGTTTAACTTTTTCTATGAAACAGCTTTGGAAAAAGGGAAAAAAGTGGTAAACTTAAAGAGATTCTGATGACTCTAAAACATTGCCAAGCAGACCATAAACTACAAGTCAAACTGTAATTCTATAGAAAAGCTATGAAATCTTTCTACATATGTGCTATAGTTGTTTTTGGGTTCTTGAAGCTGCTTGTGTGTAAAGTCAGCTGTGGAAGTGGCTAGCTAGCTGAAAGCTATGATTCCTGTAGCTTGACTGTTGTGGGGAGAATTTTTTCTGCGAAAACAGTTGTAAAGTGGAACATCTGAAAAATATGTTCCATGCAAAATGGATCTTCGCACACATTTATTTTGACATTTAGGTTTGATCTGAGAGAGAGAGAGAAGATTCTGAAATAGCCATTCACAGATGGCTTGTGCGGGTTTTATTTTTTTATATGCTTCTCTGTGTTTTTGGTTTGGGGTGGATTTTTCTGCATGTGTTTGCAGACTTGTCAATCCCCCTCTTCCCCCAGATCACATGTTTAATTTTTTATGGCTTGAATTTTTGTGCTTTTTTCCAAAACCTGGTGTTTAAAAAAATAAAAGGAAAAAAGGAAAAGGGGGAAAAACCCCACCCCAACCTATCAAAAGACCCCAAACCAACCAACCAAAAAAACCCCCCCACCCCAATCACCACCCTAAGTAATAGCTTCCTATGATAAAAATTTTCTTGGCAGTGAGTGAGAATTTACGTATACAGTGGAAAATTTTTCAGGAAGCAGCAAATTCTCCCGTCTGTGTGACCTTCAGCAATGAGTAAATGTGGGGAGTCCGGAGGGCCACGTACTCTCAACGGGGCGATTGTGGCCGGCAGAACCTTGTGCGTGTTCAGCTGGACGGGTGAAGTGCAGACGTTGTGTATCTGGCCACCCTTCCGCAGGGCCGGGCTCGACCTGTGTAGTCTTTATTGATGGGAATATCCTTTCCAGGTGGGAGTTAGGAGTGAACTGTTAGAGCCTGTCTGTTTTGTTTTGAAGGTACTGAGTGAAAGACGTTGCCAATAAATGGTGGTATGTGCCTGAGAAGCAGGTCCATCTGTGTGTGAGGAATAAAAACTCTTAAGTGGCGCTGGTAATATCTTCTTTGTGAAATGTCGGTGCAAAACATCCCTGTATTCCAACTGTAATTATGAAATGAATATTCAATGTATTCAGTTATTTTTCTTTAAGGAAACCAGATGTTGAGCTTGTACTGAATGCCATCAGTGATACATCTCTTGTTTGTTTTGTTTTTAATCCCAGAAGAAGTTAGCCGTATACAACAAGATGCAGGATTCTCTGGAAGTGACCCTTCCCAGCAAGCAAGAGGAGGACGAGAAAGACCAGCCTGCCGAGATGGAGTACCTTAACTCTCGCTGCGTCCTTTTCACTTACTTCCAGGGAGACATTGGTTCAGTAGTGGATGAACACTTCTCAAGAGCTTTGAGCCAATCTAGTAGCTTCAATCCAGAAACTGCCCTTACCAAGAGCAAGGCAGGGCTAAGTCCTCTGTGGAGAGGTAAGAGGAGCAGTAACTTGCTTTCTGTGGTGTGGCTTACTCAATCTGGCAGTAATGCGTATTTTATTGCAGCTGAAGTTTTGCTCCTCTGGGAGGGTGGAAAAATCCTACTCAAATTTGAAAGGCCAGAGGAGCTTCTTGGGGTTGAGTGATCTGAAGTGTTAAAAGGGGGAAAGAGGGGCCAAAGGCATGGAAGAAGCAGGCATCTCCCTCTCTTGCCATAGCCTGCAGCTCTGCCGAGGCCTGGAAGGAACGGGGCAGAGCTCACATGGCTTCACAAGCATCTGCTGCAAGGTCAGAGGATTATTTTTAAGCTCCAAGTGTGAAACTTGGCCTGTGAGGCAAGAGCAAAGCTGTTTGGGCTGCTGGCCTTGGACGTGAGGAGACCCGTGCAGCCTTCTCGGGTGACTTTGCCAGGCGGTTAGGATTTGTCTGCGGCTGCTTTCCAGGTAGGGAGGCGGCAGCCCAGGCTGGAATAGGTTCGGGTGCAAGACCTGGCCCATGTGGCTGCAGCCGTGTGGTGTGGTGTGTTACAGCCTGCCCACGGGCAGAACTCACGGGAGAGACAGAGGAGAGAGACAGCCGTTGTTACTGGCTTCCCATGTGTGAAACGGGGATGGCGTTACTCTGCATCCCAGCAGGGAGTACAAACACAGCAGGTACTGCTAGGCATTTGCTTACTGCCATAAGTTTCTGTCTTGTGCATGTCAGCACGATCAACGTAACAAAGAGCAGATCTTGCCAGATAAACTTGGTAGACCTTACCTTGATAAGATTTCAAAATTGGTGGCTGGAGAAGGTGTGCCGTAAGACTCTATTTCCATTCTGTTGAATGTGGCGGTCTGCGCTGTTTTTCAAATCCACAGCTGCGTTATTTCTGATCATGTCCTTACGTGGACTGGCAAAGGGACACGAACTAAGTACTGTTAGTAACAGCCTTGCATCGGGCTGAGAGAGAGAGATACGATGATGATCCTTGTAGGAGTGGTGGAGCTCATAATCAGCGATGCTGAGATGAGAGTGTATTGACGAAAGTCACAGATAATAAAGAGAGAAGGGATTTTTGGAAACCACTGCGAAGAGAAAAATAGCACAGAAGGACTTGCTTTCCAGAAGGATGATGACAAATCCAAAGAAGTTTAAGCAAAGGTAAAGTGTCTGGGGAGCTAGAGGAATTTATGGCTTGAGCCGGGACCATTAATGTTAATGGGAAGTTTTCCGTCGACTCGGCTGAGAGCAGGATTGAACCTATGCTTTCTAAAAAGGAGACTGGAGCATTTATAAATGGAGCCCAGACAGTCTATAAATGTTTTAAAGATGGGATCAAGGCAGTCCCCAGAGACCCTGTGCCTACAACAAGCCCTCTTCAAGAGCTTGGAGACATACCGTGGGTTGAGTTGCATGTCTTCTCTTTGGCCTCAGACATACCCTGCTGTTTTTGCCTGGCTCCCCCAAGGCTGCAGAGCCCTCCGCAGAGAGGGTTCTTCAGGGGGCAGGGTGGCCTGGCGTAAGGGTTCTTCAGCCATGCTGCCTCCTGACCCAGCGTGCCCCATGCTGTCAGCGGGGAGCGAGGTCTGCGTGTCCTGAAAGTCTTCTAGGATTAAAGTAAGGGGATATGCTCTGTGTTGTTGCTGCACCTGCTGAAGCAGTATGAAAACCCTCCAGGGAGGCTACCGGGCGGGGCTTCTCGGTTCTGCACTGTGGACGCTGAGAAAGCTGAGGGTATCTGCTTGTCCGGACAAGAGATGCTGACAAGAGTTTTGTCAGGCACGAATGAGTTTCTGAAACATGCCTACTTGAAAAAAGTGGGCAAGAAACAATGCTAACACCTTGGTCTTCTGGTTCATGTACAGTTGTCAAAGATACGCAGTTACAGTGAATGGATGTGAATTTGTATCCCATTACCTAAAGAAGTTAAAATGTCATTAGCTAAAATATCACTGAAGATCTTTTATAAATAACCTTCACGGGTAGTCACAGCTTTGGTCAATAGATTACTCAAAGATAAATTAAAAAAAAAACCACCTTTTGTATTTGTAATAGCCATTTTGGAAGGTACGGAAAGTGTGTGAGCATGAACTGGTTACTCAGCTCACTGCGTTATTTCTCGTTTACCTGTTTTCTACCTTTTTTTTCATCTTCATGTGGGATTTTTTAGTGTCCTGATGGAAGAACAAAGTGTAATTTCATCATAAGGTGATATGGGACTTTTTTTGTTTGGAGGAGGGATTTTGCTTATGTAGAGAATATAGAACCTGTTGTCCTGAAAAGAGCAAATTTTTGTCTTTTGTATATTGAAAATATTGATCAGTTTAGGCTAAAATTAACTTAAAAACTGGCTTTTTATAAAATATGGTTCCTACAAGAGGCTCTGGCAACATGGAGTTAGAATATTCAATTATAGGTGTAGCTACCTGAAATCTTTTGCAGGGGCTAATGAAACTAATGATGCTTTGAAGCTGATGTCACCTTAATGGTATTTTTATCATGCTTTTTCTTAGCTGAAAGTTTTGGGGTTTTTTTCTTTCTTGGGTTTTGGTTTTGGTTTTTTTTTTTTTCCTCTTGCCTTAACTGAGAAGTAATGTTGTACTACAGAAAATTCCATACATTGTCTTCTTTACAGCATGTGCACTTTGGCACGTTTTCAGTGCATATTGGCCAACCGCTGTGAACATTTGCATTAGTCACCGCTTTGTGGTATCTGAGATGTTGCCATCTCCTTGCCTCCCTGCACTTAGAATAGGAAATTGTGGTAACTGTAGTATCTTCCTTGGCAGCCAATTTTTGTTAAATGCCTCCTTCCCCCATCCTGAAAGCCCGTGAAAGCTACTCAGATTATTTTTTTTTTCTTTCTCAAGGACAGTGCTGAAATGGTTGTTTCTCTATTGCCGTGTCCCATAGAGGCCAGGTATCTGACATGGTGGTATCTGTAAAGATAATTGGTTGTGCTCACCGTTTTAAAAGTGGGAAGGAAAGGAGACCCTGCAAACACTGTGGAAATGTGTGGTGGTCGGGGGTTGTGGCTCAACACAGAGATGATTCTTGTTGGTGGGGTTGCTGCACGCTTAATAGTAACAACCTCTGTGAGCACTCAGGGTGGATGAAGTTTTCTTGCATGTTCATGTAGCCTGGATGGACCCTGTATCTTCAGTGACATGACTTGACCTTGACCAGTGATGTTGGCCTCTGCAGTTACATTCAGTAGTGTCGTGGTAGGGGCTGATACGTGGCAGTTTCTGGCAGTGGTAACGGCTTTGTGAAATGAGCACAGGTTTGAAAAATAGAGATGACTAAACTTGTTTTCTGTGGCATAAACCTTCTGCATGATTGGTAAAGCCCAGCTGGTGTGCAATCTGGGATGAATTCATATTGGCAAATCCAGTGGTTTAAAGTGCTCTCTCGTGGTATTAAAGTTGTCCTGCAGATACTTTGTGGTTTTCTGTGCTTTTTTGAAGTGAGATGATTTGGATTTAGGACTTTTCCATGCAGGTAACAGCCAGATAGTTTCCAAAAACTCTCGATAGCAGAGGTGAATTTTCCAGAATAATGGCAATGCATTGTCAAGCTGTGCTCCTCTTTTTAGCAGTGAGGAAAACAGACTGGACATGAAGAAGTTTGGTTTTGCTTTTTTCTGTCAGCTCTACTGCCAGCACTGTAATCCGTGTGCACTCTCCATCTCAGCCTAATTCCTTGTAACAAGGAATAATCTGCAAACAAGGAACAACACCAATTTCGGAGGGCTGCTGAGGCTTCTGTTATATGCTTGAAGCTCTCTCCATGCTCTTCTAGCATGAACTACAATAGAAATGCGTTACCAAAAAAAAAGTGACCTTTTGAAGAAAGATGTGTTGAGTACAGATTGCTGGATAAGCTTGGAGCCTCTGAAGTGGTTTGGCACCAAGAGAAGTTCTCTACGTTTGTCCATAGTGCATTTGCAAAGTTCATTTTCAATATCAGAAGTTAATCAGGCTCAATAAACTGCCTAAATCAAAGCCAATTGTGTGGAAAAATTTCTGTGATTTTAATGGATTTTAAAACAGATGCATGAGTGTCCTAGTGATGCAGTCAGAAAGCATTTTTAGTTTTTGTTTCCGAAATATTTTTGTGTAAGTAAAGTTCAGAGGCAGGAGCGTTATAAGAATCTGTTCATTCTCAATGGTGTCTTCACCTAGCTGTCATTCCAGCTGCTTATTAAACAAAGCAAAGCAAAGGGTCATTTAAAAAAAATAGTATAAACATTTTTGTGAATGTTATATGAAGAACAGAGGATTCCTTGCCTCGTCAAATATTATACTTCCCTGGCTTTATTTCTCCATAGGCTATTTTTATAACTGCTCTTTCATCAGAGGTGAAATCCTTTATTTTTATGTTTCCATCTTTAACCAAAAAAACCCGTATTTGAGCTCACACATATTGCATGAAGCAGTACTTTCAAACATGAGCTGGCAGGAGGATTGTGAGAATCGAGATCCCAATACTTTCCTACACATCAAAAACACTTAACTGATGCGTCAAAACAGGATTTTTTAGAATGTGATTTCATAATGTAGAGGTATTGGGACTTAAAGAGAAGTTGAGCCCTAACTGTCAGATGGAGCGAGTCTTATTTCTGACAAAAAGTCCTTCGAGTTACATAGATGTTTCTGTCTGTCTGATCCCATTGAGTACAGGGCAGCGTGATATATTCTATAAGGGACTAATGTAAGCATGTTAGGTGTGATATTTACTCCATCAAAGCGTGCAATTAGATTGAGAAGATCTGGTATTCTTCCTTTAGGCAAGCGTCTCCTATTCTGCAGTGTGACCTGTTTCTCTGTCCTCAGAAGCATTTACAGCCACAACAGCTGCCTTTCTAAATTATGTGTTCTGGTCTGGTCAGGAGTCAGCTTCTCCTCATAATTCCTGTACCAAGATCCTGAGAGAGCTGCGACTCTTCAGCCTGGAGAAGTCGTCTTCTCGGAGGGGATCTTATCAATATGTTTAAATACCCGATGGGAGGGAATGAAGATGGGGGAGCCAGTCTCTCCTCAGCAATGCTTGCTGTCCGGACAAGAGACAATAGGTGTGAATTAGGAAACAGAAAACTGCACCTGAACACAAGAAAACACTTTTTTTCTTTTTTGGCCCCCCCCTTTTTTTTTTTTTTTATGTTGTTGAGGGTGGCTAAACACTGGAACAGACTGGCCAGAGAGGTTGTGGAGTTTGGATCTCAGTCAAAATCTGACTGGACACCGTCCTGGACAACGTGCTGCAGGTGACCTCATTTGAGCAGGGACTACACGATCTCAAAAGGTCCCTTCATACCTCAACTGACCTGTGATTCTGTAATTGCGGGAGAAGCTTGAGTTCAGTGTTACAGGTTTCAGAGAGCAGAAAATCATTGTGGGGTTTTTGTCATTAAATTTGTTGCTCGGCTTCAGTTGTACTTCATTTCTCTTCTCTCTACCAGAAAGCTCAACAATTTCAAGCCAGAGGAGCAGTTTCCCAACATCGTTTTGGACCAGCTCTTATCAGCCTCCCCCTCCACCGTGCTTAAGTGGAGTACACCCCGATTTCCCCGTTACTGCACCAGGCACCTTCCCAACACCAGATCCCAGCAGCTGGCCAGGACACAGCCTTCATCAGACTGCCCCACCTCCTCCCCCTGCTGCATCTGAATCCTGGCATTATCCTTTAGCATCTCAGGTGAGCCCTTCGTATGCACACATGCATGACGTGTACATGCATCGCCATCACCCTCATCCACACATGCACCATCACCATCCCAGCTCGCCCCGTGACCCCCGGTATGGGTCCCTGCTGATGCCTTCAGTCTGCGCAGCCAGGATTCCTGCTCCCCAGTGTGACGTGACAAAGACAGATCCTGCTGCTGTCACCAGCGCTACCTCAGCATGGGCTGGAGCCTTTCACGGAACGGTGGACATTGTGCCAAGTTTTGGGTTTGAGACAGGTAAGATGGTTCGATTGTGTCTGTGACTTGTTTTAGCAAGAAGAATTTGAGCAAAGAAGTGAACTCTTTGCAGCTGTAGCAGGGCTTGCTCACAGAGCCTTCTCCATGTATGTTTCCAGGTGGGAATCCCTCCTGAAATTGCTGTCAGGGCAGATGAGCTGTGAAACATCCAGCTCTTGCTGCTTTTTGCTGAGAGACCATTGTCTGCCTTGGTCCCATTCAAGCTAAATGATTTGTGACATGATAGGCCTTTTTTTGGTTTAAGTCTTGTGGGAAATGGTTAATTAAAACTTCCATGTGGAAGCTTCCAGCTTGTTCAGCTAGTTCATATGTGCATTCACCAAAACACAGCTCCAATGAGGACTGAACTAATAACTTGTCAGTACATGAGGATTGCATCTTACTCATCTAAATTGGAACAGATCAGCATTTCCTTCCTGTGTAGTATTCAGGTGTCACGCAGAGGGCAGAGATGCTGCCTGGGCTGTGCTCGCCATCAAACTAAACTTTCTGTAGGATCCAGGCAGTGGTCTGTGAATTAGATTGATTTTACTGCAGGGTCTGTAGCCATAGGACAGCCTCCATAAACTACATCTGCGAGCTTTGACTGGCAGGCTCTCATCTCCGTGTTAGGAGCAGTCTAGCAGCCCTCACTGTCCATGGATGCTTGCCATCAGGTGATGGATGACGAACAGTTTCCAGCGCATCCATCCTGGAGCGCATGTGCACTGCTGAGGTCTCGTTTTTCTTCTTGGTATTTATCTCACCAGCAGCAATCCTTGCAGATTAATACTTCCTAAACATGTTATTTATTAAGGAAATACTGGGTTTGCATCTCTGTTCCCTTTTCCTGAAAGGATCTGTCTCTCTTCTTGGCAGCACTAGTTAACTGATTCAATGTGTGAGAAGCACTTCCTTGCTTTGAGTAGTGTGCAGGGGAACAAAGAATTGGTGGAATGTAAAAGTGCTGTTTCTTAAATATGAAATCCTATGAACCCAAAACTCAATTATAATTGAGTTAACCCAATGCCAATCTCTCTCTCTTCCCTTAATAGCAACTGAGAATGAATAATCTCTGCTGAATACTATGCCACTCGCTGCCTCAAGTAATGAAGAAAAAGTGTAATAGGCTTCTTAACAGTGGACAACTTTATATTTATTCATAACATTTCCACCCATGCCAATGATAGAAGAGGAATTACATTTTATGCTTTCGGGTATAAAATGGTAATCTGACAAGGCTGGGATCTCAAGTTTTGCCCTTCTGACCAATTCCATAATGGGAGTGAGCTGCCTTCTCTGAAGCATGAGCGAATCATCCCTGCTGCCGGCAGAGGGGATGAGCCCCCTGGTCTGACAGTAGCCCCAGCATTCCAGAGCTCTGGTATTTGACTTGCCTTTTGGGCATGGAGATGAGAAGTGCGTAAGGAATTATTAGTCAGGAGAAACCACTACCTGGCTTAGGTATGAGTCCAGCCCAGACTGTGAGTTGTTTGTGCTGGGCAAGTTAATTTGCTTACTGCTACTTTATTGGTAGCAGTAGGTCTAATAAACCAGATGCTTTTTCTCTTTTCTGTAAGAGCACAGTGCTTCAAGAGGGACTATGAGTCCTAGCACTGCCTTACAGCACCAGTTTAGCCTTTGCTTGGTGCTGCCTGCTTCTTGTGAAAATCCCTATAGAGGGGTACAGTTGGATGCTACTTTTATTAGTATCCTGATCTGGCAGTGCTTGACAGTGGCTTGCATGTCATGTAGTTGTCTCCTTAGCGTGGGCGGCAGTGGAGAAGGCCTGAACTGTTAATTTCTGGCCCATGCCTGACGTATGTGTTGAAGTCCATGAGCTCCTGTGGGGGAAAAGAAAGAGGGCAAATGATGTGTGACTGGTTTGCAGGAACAGAGGAGCTTAGCAGAGCAATACCTTGCTTGTTGGTGACTATTCAAAACAGCCATGCACTGAAACACAACAGCAAAACCATATCAGGCAGCCCCAGTTTGGCACGTAAGCCCTTGGAAACAAGGGAGCAAGCACCCAAACACAGCAGGTAGTGGTAGCCTGTGACATTACAGTTATTTGCTCTCTTGCCCTGCACACTTATCTCTCCTGTGCTCTCCAAGTGGAAGCTTGCTGGGAAGGGTAGGAAGGCTCTGAGCTCCCTTTTCAGCCCTGCCTGCAGCTGGTACGTTTGAGACAAATGCTTTGGTGACAGGCATTCGAGGCATGATGATGGTGAAAAGAGGGAGATTAATTGCCCCAGTGTTTTGCATGCACCTGAAATGGTGTCATCCCAGGGGAGGTTCGTTGTGCTGCTGGGGAGAGCAGGGGGCTGCTGAAGCACCACACTGAGTTGCATCCAGCACTCACCAGCGCAGGTGAAGCTTCCCTTGTTCCATGTCCACTCCAGGGGAGGATTATACTGGATAAATCTCCACATCACGCAGAATTTCATTACATTTGACTCTCACGTGTGATAGCAATCTCAACAGAGAGGCTAAAAACTGAAGAGTCTGGAGGAGTGTACTGGCTTTCTGTGGCGTAGAAGTGGTTTCTCCAGAGTAGGGTAAGGCCATAGCGGCAAGAAAACTTCAGTTCTGGAATTCTTTGCTCGCATTTCCCTGGAGAATAAAAGACATCAACCTGTGGAGCTGTCAATGTATCAGGTTCCATGAGGTTCAGATGATTTATATAAAAAGGCTTATTTGGTATATACCTAGATGTAGCTTTTCAGAGCTGTTCAGATACAAAAATTGTTATTCCTCCCCCCCCCCACACCTGCCCCATTGTGGGTCACATTTCTGATGCTACTGTCACATGCAATTATAGAAACATTTGCAAAATTCCTCACGCTGAATTATACAGAGTGGTAGTGTTGGGATCAGGGCAGGCTGGCTGTAATCTTACCCTCTTCCAGCTACGTTGTTGCATCTCTGCCATACTAAGCCAACTGTTCAGTCTGGTGAATGGATGATGCTGAATCACTGCAAACGTTAAGAGGGTTCCCCCTGCGTGCACAGTGTAGTTTGGGAATTTGTTTCAGAACAGATTGTGTGGGACATCAGCGTATCGCCGTTTGTAGAGCTAACAAAGTATTGATCCATCTTGCACATCTGTTTGAACTTACATGGTCCTTCTTTAGAGGATGAAGAGGGATTTAGCTACCTGATTCCCATTAAACGTGGCTTAATCCTCATGTTGTGTACTGCAAATTAACCCTTTTGGAAGCTTCTTTATTTGTACTAGTGGGATTAAAGAAATTGCTAGTCTACATCAATATCTATTAAGTTCTGTTGTGTTTGTGGCTGCTGGTATGCAGTGTCTTTCCAAAGCTGAAGTGCCCAAGCTACAATGCTCAATATAAAAGTGTGTTTTGTATGAAGCATTGATATAAACACATTGACAGAAGCACAACGTGTTTGTGCTGTAGACCATGTTCCCTGCCCCGCCGATGTCGCGCAAGCCAGGTCAGCCCCTGACAGCATCGGATGGCGGTCCACACACAAGACCGCAAAAA